CCCATGTGCACTTGAGAAGAATATATATTCTGTGGCTTTGGGGTTAAATGTTCTGAAGATGTCAGTTAAGTCCATCTGACCTAGTGAGTCATTTAGGATTGCTGTTTTTTTGCTGACTTTTTGCTAGAGCACTGATCACCAACCTTTCGGACCTCACAGACCACCAGTGGTCTGCGGACTACCAGTTGGCAACTGCTGGTCTAGAGGATTTATCCAGTGATGTCAGTAGGTATTAAAGTCCCCTACTATGATCATATTGCTGTCGACCTCTCCCTTGGTACCTTCCAGAAGTGTGGCTTTTTATGTATTTGGGTGCTCCTCTCTCCCCTGATATCTTCCAGGAGTTTTCTTATGCATGTGGGTGCTCCTGCATTGGGTGCATATATGTTTATCAGGGTTATATCCTCTTGTTGAATTGCTCCCTTTAGTATTATGAAGTGGCCTTCCTTATCTCTTGTTATGGCCTTCACTTTGAGGTCTATTTTTGTCAGATATAAGTATTGTTACCCCAGCTTTTTTTTTATTTCCATTTGCCTGAAATATGTTTTTCCATCCCTTCACTTTCAGACTGTGTGAGTCCCTTGTTTTGAGGTGGGTCTCTTGTAGACATGTTTTTTTATCCATTCAGCCACTCGATGTCTTTTGATTGGAGCATTTAGTCCGTTTACGTTTAAAGTTATTATTGATAGGTACTTGCTTGTAGCCATTTCTATTTTTTGTGCCTGTGTTCCTTCTTCCCTTTTTATTACTTCTTTTTTATAGCAGTCCCTTTAGCATTTCTTGCATTGCTGGCTTGGTAGTGATAAACTCCCTTACCCTTTTTTGTCTGTGAAGCTCCTTATTTCCCCTTCAATTCTGAATGATAGCCTTGCTGGATAGGTATTCTTGGATTCAGTCCCTTGCTTTGCATCACTTGGGCCTTCTCAGCCTTCATTACTATGAGATCCATCTGCTACATATACACACAGTTGAGGTGAGAACTCAAAAACAAGAACTCCAAAAAAAAAAAAAAACAATAACTCCACTCCAGGAAGACAAATAACCCAATTAAAAAATGAGCAAAGAGGTGTTTTATTTTTCTGGAAGAAAAAGAATTCAGAATAAGGGTCATACGGTTCATAAACCAGATGAGAAAATCAACCTATGTAAGAATCAGGAGGAAATAAAGAGTGATATAGATACAATAAAAAAAAAACCACTATGGAAGCTTTCAACAGTAGACTAAGAGAAGCGGAAGACCAAATTAACGAATTAGAAGACAGGGAAACAAAACACACCCAATCTGAACTGCAATTGGAGAAAAAAATCAAAAGACAGGAGGATAGCCTGAGGGAGCTTTGGGACAACATGAAATGAAGCAACATACGTATAATAGGGGTGCCAGAAGGACAAGAAGAAGAGCAAGGGCTAGAAAACCTATTCAAAGAAACAATGTCAGAAAACTTCCCTGATTTGAGAATAGCATTATTTAAAGAAACAGAAGTAGATGCAAGATCCCACTGTGAGGGGCACAGACTCTCCCCCTCCATTTGTCTATCACAGAAGGCCCACAGTTTTGTCATTGACTGAGTGTAGCTGTAACTTATTGTTAGGGAAACTTTATCTCACAGATAAGCACACTGCCATTCCTAAAGACCTGAAATTTGACTATATTGTAGATTTGAGCCAAACTACAAAAGAAAACTAGCATGATAGGTCCTAAGCATTTAGTGTAATTCCTTTTCTGCCAAGAAGGCTTATGGCTTTCATTATTACTCATTTGATCATTGTGGGGTCCACCTGCATTTTAAATGAACCATTATCTTATCATTCTGTCCTTTTCTAACCAGGCGCCTGGAACTGCTACTAGCTCTTGGTGCCTTAGGGGGGAAATCCTTTCCTTAGTGAAATATCAAAGCTGTCTAATACACCATCTTTTTCCTCTCCTACCAGCAAACATCCCTCTCTGCTCACTCAGTAAACAATTTCCACTGTTAATGTGATGCATGAAGGAGCCATTCAGGAAGTCCTTACACAGGCATCTCATTGGTGATTTTCAGCTCACCTCAAAAGCCAGCAGAAAACTTCTTCTTCTCTCCTTTCTTTGTTTTTAACTCCAAATGACCTAGTTTATTTCACAGTTCACCTCCAAAAGAGGCATGAGGGAGTTTGGGATATGCTCAGCAAGTGGACAAGTCGACAAGTGGACACAGAAACGGCTAGAACAACAGTAAGCACAAAGTTGCAAGGTCTGTATTTTTTCTTACTTTCTTCTGAGTTGACATGACTGGCCAGTTCCCAAGCAGAAAAAGCCACACATTATTTCATTATTTATCCTTAACATGACTAAAACAAGAAGACATGTATTCCAACTTTTGCAGCTTACTCCCCCCAACACACACACACATAGTACATAGTAACTGGGCTTTTATTTTCTTTCTAGATTCTTCATTTCTCCACCTCATTGGTTTCTGCATCCTGATAATAGGCACAATAATGCCTGTTCTCATTTCAGGGCTTTGCAGTTTTCCTTCCCCCCTGCATTTCCATCTTCCTGTTCCATGGGGCCTGTGGCGAGCTTTTCTTTCCCAGCCTAGCTCTCATGCTACTTCTCTCACCTGGCCTACCCATAGGTTGAAACTCTCCTTCCCTGCTGGGAAGACCAAAGCCAGTGAAATTAACATGAAGAAACAGATGCCTTAACCTTTGGGGTGTTTATAAATAAAGTTCAGAGGACAAATAGCTTGCTGAAGGCAAGGAAGCTCATTTTATATTTTTACCTCAAGTGGCTATGGCTACATTAGTTTCCTTAGAAGCAAACCTAGCCAACATGGTCAGTGATGGAAATTAGAAAATGTAAGGGATGCTGGGCTCACACATATCCTCAATAAGCAATCAGAGGAACTATATTTTAGATATTTGAAAGGTTTCTCCAGTTTAAGCACACACAGGTTCCTCTAGGTCACAGCACATCAAATATATGATAGAAGGGCATGCAGGTGGCTATAAACATTGTTTTAAGAATCCCCAGATGAAAGACGGCAGAAAGTTCCACAGCTATCATGTAGAGACTCTACTTACTTTCAGAGAAAGTGAGAGGAATAGAAAGATTGCTATAGTCGATGTTATTTTAGAGTGGGGCTTAGAGTAGGATAGGACTCCATGGAGAAATTAGAGGATAGGATTCAGAGATCTGTGAACTTAGATGGGAAAAGGTTAGCATTATTATACTCACAAACTTCACTAAAATTAAGCATTTTCTTTGTTTGGGAATGTAGGAAACAGACCACAGTTTTATTAGTAGTAGCTGTGTCTTTGTCACCAATAAACATCACAGATACATTAATATCATTAAGGTTGTTCAGATTCTCTCAATATATCACTTATGCTCAAAATTTATGTGGCACCCATATCTTTGAGCATCTTATGTCAAGAGTCTATAATGAATGAATATGGGCAGATTATTTTATATAATCACTACAACTCCATAAGCAAATTTATCATCAATACTATTTTATGAATGAGGAAACTGAGGCTTACAGAATAATGTGTCTGATTTCAAAGACTCTAATCTTTCTACAAGCACACAAATATACATATATTTTTATGACTCCCAAACATCCAGTCAAAAATTCAATTAGCATAGACACTACTGGCCATCAAACTAAATTAACTAGTAATCTGTCTCTACAATGCCACAAGAACTGGATGAAACGATGAAAAAATTATATCTAACAGATGTTTTGTCTAATTGCACTCATAATTTGATGGCCCTCTCTCCCCTTATGAAAGTGGCTGAATAGGCCAAGAATTTCCTGGGACACATGTCAAATAAGTCCCTCCTTTGGTTGAATGAGGACATGGATGCCCTCCTCACCCTGGTGAGGCTCTGACATCCAGGTCTGGTACTTTACACCCTCGCCCCTTTCAATCATGGATATCTACCCCATTCTGCCCCACTTAATGGCTTTAGGACTAAATTATTCATGAATAAAAGGGGGGAGGAGAGAGAAGGAGAGAGAAAGGTAGGGAAGGGCAGGGCTATGGCCAAATTTTGCCCTGGGTGCTGGGGAGAAAGACAGAGAGATCTGTATACTTATGGAATTAAAATTCAATATTTGAGGACCAGTAAGAAACAAGTAATTCCTCAAATAATGGATTAATTCATGACAACAGCTGTGAGTGCCACAAAGGATGAATTCAGGGCATTATATAACAAAGGTCCTCACCTAGTCTGGGGCAAAATAAAAGATTTCTCTGAGAAAACAGTGTGTGCAAACTCATCATTTATAGTATTTATGGTTTTAATATACTGCTGGCATGTAACCATCCTTTCATTATAATATGAAATACAAGTCAGACCTCACCTCTGTGGTCTCCTCTGGAGTAGAAGGGTGATTAAGATTCTGCTGGTGGGAAACAGAAGCTGGTGGCAACAGTGTCTGTCATTTGTGGTTAATGCACAGCTCCAAACAGCTTGAGATGCCCCTGGCCTATGTCACCACAACTAAGCTGAATGAGGTTGAGAAATGCAACTCGCCCAAGGTGGCCCATCCTATCCCCACAGCTGCAACTTGCTGGGGAGACTGGGGAACACTAGCCACAAGCCTCATGTGGCATTCAGAAGGCTTCCTGTGAATCCAATCAATCAAACTTTACACTCCATTGTCCCATTTGCAGATGCTGTACAACATAAATCCAGTGTCTTTTCAACTAGAAGCATAACAGTTGCAGTTACGATGAGGAATAGTCTGGTGTAAGGCAGACGGGAGCTCTGACTAACTAAGGAAGGGAAACCTCCTTTCTCCAGGAGACAGAGATTCACTCACTGAAGTTTTAAAATTCCTACTTGAGAGCGAAATTACAGGGCGTTCAGGAAGTATTCCTTCTGATAAATTATTCCATTATATTTTAAAATTCTTTTTTCTCCTTCCTGCCATCTTTTGACATCACTAATAATGGGTCCTGAGTAAAATGGGAAAGGGAAGAAGAAAGAGGAACAAAGACATTATTGTTTACCAAAATAAAAAATAATAAATTGAGTTTTGTATGGTATTTCTAACAAATAAGTACAAGAAATCTTTTATGGTCAGAATGAAATATTTTACTCACCTTAAAATTTATTCCCAAGGTATCTGTTTTATTGATGGACATACATACCTCATGACTTTGAGGAAAAATAATTTACCACCCACATAAAAAAATCCTTATTCTGGGAACTTCTGATTCTTACACCTTTATTAAAGTCTTGCTAACTATTTTCCAGGGGTTGTCCTTATTCCATAGGAGCCTTATTTAATGGTCATTAATAGAATGGATTTTTGTTGGATATATCATACTCAACTCATATTAATAACAGCAAGAACAATACCCACAATTCCCTTCATAACACTTAGAAATTTACCCGCTACTGTTTTCTTAGTACACACAAAAATATGATTCCTCATTTAGGTTAATAGATTTTTATTTACCAGCTACTAAAGTGGAAAAATAAAATTGCTATCAATCATCTATCTTTTCTATATCCCCTAAAATCATACAACTTGAAAACTTTCTAAGGGCAAAATAAAATAATGCTTCTTTTAAATAAATCAAATTTATTTAATATATCATTGGTTTTGCACTTGCCACTTGTGAGAAAGCATTTTATTATACTTAATCTAATTTAATAATTATTCTGATTCTTAATGTCAAATTCTTTCATATATTGACTTGAATTCTATCACTAGGGAAATTTATCAAAGTCTACATTTTCCCTTTTTTACAATTTATATTTTTCTTCTAAGCTTGTTTTGTTTATACTACTTTCAGGCGAAATCTTGAAATAAACTGTTCTAATTTGCATAGCATATTATTTCTCAAACCAATTCTGCAGAACACTGGTATTCCATGACTTGTTGGCATGCCAATAAAAAAGGGGTTCCAAAGTCAAATAAGATCAGATGCTGCAAACTGTAATCCCAGGTAAGTTGCAAAGCCCATTGGCATGATAAATGCTCAGAGGATCCTACTGTGAAGAAACCTGACTAACTTGGATTCAGCAGTTCCAAAGCTTTTTAAGCCATAGATCTCCCCTCTTCTTCATTGCATCCATACTTAGAGATCACAGAACACTTCTAGTCCTCAGAACATGGTTTGTATCTACATGCACACATGGTTTTGCAGGATGTAGCTTGATTCATCCAAACTAATATGTAGCCATGAGTTGCTAACCAGTTGTTTTAAAAGGAACTGTGCATTTGACTTAGCTCATGAATTGTTTTGTTGTTCCTTAAAAGTCCATTTCTATAGATAGATACATTGCTATCCCTAAACAAAGTTGAACATCCAATGACCATCATTTCTCTGGGACTGCCCCATTGTTTTTTTTTTTCAAAAAAGCTTGCCTTTTGTTTCAATTCTAGTGTCTTACAGCAATTTCAAGACAGAATCTTGGGGATGGGAAATGAGAAACCCAGAGTGCTCGAGCTTGAATAACTTTAGAAAACTCTAGTGCAACCCGTTCACTTTACAGATGAAGAAACTGAAGCTCAAGATCCCATAACCATTAGTGCTGGTTGGCCCCCAGAATCACACCTCTTCTCTATACCCCTCAGTCTCAATATCATGTTTCTCCTTTTTGTTTACCAATAAGTCAATTTCCCTGTGCTGCTCTCAGTACTGTTGAGGATTTGTGCTCTAAAAGAACACAGATATTTCGGTACACGTATTCTATAGGTTGCCAAAGGTTGTGGCCCCACCCCATAACAAAGAAACAAAATTTCCGGAGGATGAGGCCCAGAAATCAGGATTTTAAAAAGATTCCCAGGTGATTCTAATGTGCAGCCAAGGTTGAGAACCACTGCTCTAAAGCCTTAGGTATCTGCTACTCTCTTTCTCTCCCCTTTCTTCCTGCTGTTGACCTAACCACACTTCCCTGGGCTGGTGATGTTCCCCAAAGTCAAATGCTACACCTGTGGCTAATTCTCAGGCAACACAAGGAAGACTCTGCTATATTAGAAGCAATTGGCTGTTTGCAGGAAGCACGATGATCTGTAGTCACATCTCATTAGGGGTGCCTGGGCCCTGTTGTGCACAAGTGAAGGAAACACTGCCAATGTAATTTGTTTTATATGCCTAATTCTCTTCCTTATAATTAACATCTGAAATGTGAAAACAAAACGAGAGCACTTTGCAGGCATCTGGGATCCCTAGAGCACTTTCAGGAAGCCTGAGCTTT